ATTCAACAAATTGAGGGTTAAGGCATGTTCTTTTTTCAGTAATCGTAAGACCTGCTGATGAAAAAAGACGTTCTGATAGTACGGATGTAGCCGGGATACAAAGATACTTGCGAGCGAGTTTTGCAAGTATAGGATAGTCGGATTTTCTTGACGCCCACCACTGAAAGATGTCTGTTTCACTTGGAACTCTTGATAATAACAAATATGAATTAAATTCACGGTTAGTAATATTATTATCGTCTTGATCTGAATCCTCTTGAATACAATTGGTCGCAGGATTAAAAAAAATATCTTTGATATGCATTATATCATTAGATGTTAAATCTGATAAATTGTCTGCTTCATAATAATCTGTAGCTAATTCAAGATATTCTACGTGTACTTCAGAAATAGTTTGTTGTTTCTCATTCTCTGTAAATATCTGCATATCTTTAGTTCGTGGGTCAAAAAAGGCAGCAAGTTGAATCGGTTTTGTTGGTTCTAAAAATCTTTCTTGCAATGATTCACGAAGATGACCTCTAAACCTTCAAATATCAGCATTACTTACTATTGCACAATCAAGTTTTACTTTTATAAAATTAATAGCAAACCATGCTTAAGAAAGTGTTGGATACTGTGAATTGGACAATTTTTTTGAAATAATCTCGTAAAGATATAATAATTTAACTAACTCATTTACTTTTTCCTATTCATCTGATGACAACTCTTTTTCGTCATAACTTCTCAGCAAACTATTATCATTATTTTCAACTAAAATTGACTTGTACCTATACATTGCTGGTTTAAGAATCGTTAATTGTTTTAATAAATAAAACGTAGAATTTCACCACGTCGAAACGTCACGAACTACAAATAGAAAGTTATTCCAGTCTTCCATCTCCATTTGAGCTTTTAGAAGAAACTGCTTTTGCTTCAGACTTCTGCTAAAATGCGACACAACATCTTTATATCTTTTTATTAGGTTAGTAATTTCGGAACAATCTTTTAATGCATCGTTTATTGCAAGCTGTAAGGTATGTCCAAAACAATGAATTCTAAAAATGCTATGTTTTCGCTCTAACTTTTCTAAACATAACTTGATATTTGCTCTGTTATCAACTGTGCCACTAACAGTTATACATTTAAGTTGAAGATTATCTAAAATTTCAACAATTTTACTTAAAATACATTCCGAGGTATGAGGATATGGGAGATACGAGATGTTATCAGTAATTTCTTTTACTTGAAAACAATCATTAATTCAACGAAGAGTAAGTCCAATATATGGATCCCCATTATTCAATGTCTACATATCTGTGGTAAATAAAACGTAACTAATTTCAGCACTATCATGTGCATACTCACGAAGGTTTTGCAAAATTTTATCCTCAGAATTAATGAGAATTTCTTTTAAACGATCATTACTAAGTACATTAGCCTGGATATCAAGTCCTTCAATTATTCGTTTAAAAGCTTGTAATTAAGTAATTGAAAACGGTTGAAGTTCTTCAACTATAAAAGCAGCTACGTTATTATCAAGATTTTTTGTTTGGGGTTATTCAATACATATTTTTTCACTTTGTTAAATGACTGGACTATTGTTGATTGTGAGGATTCAGGAATTACAAAAAAATTACAACTATTATTACTCTTTACTACAACCTTTACTCGACCACCTTCAACTATAGCTCGCGAAATATGATGCTTATTTCTCAAATGTCGCCACAAATTAGAAGTAGAACCATCTTTTATATATTTTGTTCATGGAATGCAACTTTTATGACGACAAACTCAATACTCTAAATTATTAATTGTTCTTGTCTCATAAAATTCTTTAACAGGACTACCGTCCGGTTTTTCAATTTTTTTTTGTTTTTTTTAACTAATAATTGCCCACCAGTTTGTGATAATGTAGAAGACTGAAATGTATCTTCATTATTATCATTACTATCCATATCGTTAGATTCTGACCTATCCAAATCAACACCATCAGGTTCATCCAAATCAGAACACCCAGGCTCATCCAAATCAGAATACACAGGATTACCCAAATCAACATTCTCAGGCTCATACGAATCAATATTCTCAGGCTCATACAAATCAGTATCTTCTGACTCTAACACCATATTATCGTCGCTCATTATTCTTTAGAATAAAAATAATAATTTTAATTATTTGTTTACAATAAACATGATGAATAACCATATAATAGTACTTACAATATGCAATTTAGTTTATACTGATATTAGATTCAGTAGTTGTTGTATAAGGTTATTGGTATTCAACTTAACAGATAAATTTCGACAATAAGTAAGTATTTATAAGTGAAATTTGGGCGTTAGAAACTTTGAAATAATTACTAACGCAATTCTATATATGTACATACGGCGCACAAGAAATCTAAAACCATCCATCATTCTTTTTCCACACCAGTTCTATAGAAGAATTAACAATTCCATGTATATACGTATATACGTGCAGGCAAAAAATCAAACTGTTATTCTTACACCAATTTCATAAAAACAATAAAAATAATCTTGGAATGCTTACCAATCCATTCAATATATGCAGGAAATCCAAATCCGTTAATCTTTTCTCACACCCATTCCATAGAAGCGATAACAATATCTTGGAATGCTTGCTGATTCGTCCTTTATATGTAAGTGCAGTGCAGGAATCTAAAACTGTTATTCTTTCCCACACCATTACCCAACAAAAATTTTAAAAATCCCCATAGAATTATAGCTTTGGCTAATTTTAGATAATGCACCAATATTTTATGCTTATCTAATTCAGCCCCAATTTATAAATAACAATTTGCTTCGTTGGGGCTTTCTAATTTATCAAATCTATATAAGGTATTGTAATAAAAAAACTAATAATGCAGATTTATGCATAGATTGGCAAAATCGTTAAATTTATTAGTGAAGACTGGTGTTAAACAAAGTTACAGATTAAAATTTTTATTTTTATTCTTTTTTAATTTTTTTTATAATACAAATTCATTTTCTTAGTTTCTTACTAATTTAATTAAAAAGTTTAAACTGTAACTTTGTTTAATCAGATTAAATTAATCGTTTGATATCAATTTTTGAACACTAGTCTTCACTAGTGAATTTAACGATTTTGCCGATCTATACACAAGTTTTTATTACAGCACCTTACATAATTAGTATATCAGAAGCCCCATTGCTTCATGTACATGCGTAACTATACATACTGTACATACTGAAAATTCTGATACAGATTTTTTTTGAAAAATAAAAATGATAATATTGTTATTGATTTATATATTGATTTAAAGATAACTTACTTCTTGGCATATTACTTCTATTTACAGATTCAATTTTTTTGAGTCGTTACATCAGTTTTGCATAAGGGTTACACTAACTTTAAAAAAAATCAATTATTTTATATATGACCTGTTGACCCGGGTATACACCTCGACCCGTCCAGGTCATTATTTTCTGACCCGGGTAATAGCTCTAATTTATGGTCTGGAGCTGTAATTGTTGCAGAGCAGGAGTTTCTATTTTTAAGAGATTGGGTGGAAAACTATTAAATTAGGAAATAAAGATTTGGATAGAAGGTGTTTCTATTTATAATTTTTGTAGTAATTCAAACTAAATTAAGGATTTTTAAAATGTTTGCTTGTGTATACAATGTGGAGTGTCTATGTCTGCTATAAGTATCAAACAAGTATTTGTTTAACTATATGCTCTAGATCTTTAATTCTAAAAATAAAATTTTTTTACAATATTCTATAAATTAAAAATTCTTTGTTTATGTCCATATCTTTAAAAAGTGAAGTCACTGAACTTCATGTGCTAATTTGTCTAAAATTAGCTTCTGTTTGTTTTAATTGTCTATGAATTTTTTATTTTAGCAATTAGATTGTCAGTTGTAATTGTTTTTTGCATATATTATATGATCTTTTCATTATGGCTAGTGATGTTTTTCTATTATTTATTCCTTAATTTTTGGCATTTGTTGTATCCAAAAATCTTTTACACACAGCTTTCTGGTCTTTATCTTCTTTTTTCTTTCTCTTTTTCTTATTTTAAGCTTTTTCTAATATCTTTGTCTTTTATTCTTGTAGTTTTATCGAAAAACTTTTGTCTTTTGCCTTGTCTGTTTCTTTTCATTTATCTTATCATCATCCAAAGATGTGTATACTTGTTCTAGCTGTGCGCTAAGTCTCATCTAATTTAGGCATATGGGGCTTGGCCAGTCTTCTACTTTAGTGTACTATGTAGTTGGCCCAAGTATATATTTTTCTATTTGTTTTTCCTTTTTTTTTGTTTCAATACCTGTGGTTGTAGATTAGAAACTTATCTCTATTAGTATTGCAAGTAATAAACCTTGCTTGTAGTATTCTTTGAATAAGAGTCTTTCTAATTGTTTTCTTTATCATTTTCCAAGTTATACATTTAGAAATAAGTTGTTTCTAATTAAGTTTTGCTTTACAGATGCCTTGTTATAGTAAGAGTAGTTCAGTTCTGGATCATTTGTTGGTGCTCCATAATCAAATTATAAGTTTGGAGGCAGAAGCAGCTGAAAGAAATTCTTCAGTCCTAGAAGCAGCAAGAAAAGGATTTATACAAGAAACTCAACCTAAAAATATTACTAAGGAGAGAAATAGGCTACATGATCAGATAGCAAACTTGGAGAATGAAGTGCAAGAATTAAGACGAATAGTACGGAAAAATAGTAATAGTAATAGAAATTATTTCTGTAATATTTTGTAAACAAAATATATAGAATTTAATAAAACTTTTAAATCTAATTTTAATTTTTTTTTTTTTAAAATCAAGGTTAGCCTCTTTGGCTTATTGCTTTTATTAGATATTAGGATCATGTGATGCCCTTATCAAAGGGGCCCCAGACAAGTACATTCTGACGAAGATACATTCTAGCCATATCTGCACCTTTTGAG